TGTTCTTTAAACTTTCTGTTTGTTGTTGGTCTTGCAGAAGCCTGGGCTGGTTGATCACTACATCAGCACCCTGCTGACCCTGGAGCAGAGCCCCACCATGCTGCCCATGCTGGGGGTGTGTTTGGACTTCTGCGCTGCTCAGAAGGACAAAGCTACCATTGAGAAACACAAGGTGGCATCATTTCCATGAGCTCAGTAGCTTATTACCGTGTTTGATTCTGACTAACCAACAGCCTTCCACAGAGCACCATATTGGACCTCTACATTAAATCGGTCCTGATGAGCAAAACCAGACCGCAGCAGCACATTTTGGATCAGAGCGGCTCCCTGCTGCGCCACGTCACCCACTCTGCGTTCAAGGAGCTGCTGCTTCCCGCGCTGCAGAAGACCATGCTGCGCAGTCCAGAGAACGCCATGCAGAGTGAGCCTCCTGATACCTTTAATCACGTGCTGTAAAACCTGCAGTCCGTCATGATCCTGTTCATGTCTTCTCAGCCGTTTCCTGCCTGCTGTCTGCTGTAACTCTGGATCTCAGCCAGTATGCCATGGACATCGGAAAGGCCGTCGCCAGTAAGGCTCTCGGGGACGCCGACATGTTCAGCTTTAGAAAATAAAGGAGATGTTTGGGTTAACTTAGCTGCTGTCCTTGTGCTTTAGGCCAGCTGAAGGCCAATAATGCTCAGCTGATGGAGGAAGCTGTTAAGGCCATGCAGAACCTGGTCCAGCAGTGCAGCGACGCCGCTGCAGTTCAGGACATCGTCTCTCATCTTTTCAAGATTCTCGGAGGTGAGCATGTCCTACTTACTGCGGGGTATTAAATTTAAATGTAAATAAGTAATTTCTTCTTATAATAAGTGCATTTGTTCTTGAATTGAGGAGCTAATTGAGACACTTTGCCAACGAAACAATGAAACCTGCCAAATAAGTACATATTATCTAATTATCTTTTTTAAGGGTATAAATACTCATTCCATTGGCAGATAATCTTATCTATTTGCTCAAATTAAGGGTAAATATTGTTATTTTTTGCTTATTTCTAGATTATTTTTGCAGTGTCACTGCAGAGAGAGGCTCTGACTAGGCAGGTTCAGCAGATCTGCGCAGATCTTTTTCACTTTTTTCTCAGTGCTATACACATTAAAATAATTTCCCACATTTGATTGGACAGGTTATGAAAAGTTATTAAAATAAAAAATACAAACCAGCGGTGCATTCTATAAAGCAAAGCTCTACTTATAGAGTAGAACAAGAACAGATAGAGAATGTTCACTGCAAAAACGATCTAGAAATAAGTAAAAATTTCTTAAATTAAGTGTATTTACCCTTAATTTGAGCAGGTAAATGAGATAGTTTGCCAATGGAATGAGTAATTTTACTCTGAAAATAAGATAATTAGATAATATCCACTTGAAATAAGACAATGCAATTGTGTTTTCTTATTCTAAGTGTAAATAGTCTTGCTCCATTGGCAAAATGTCTCATTTACCTCCTGAATTCAAGAACAAATGCACTTATTTTAAGAAAAAATGACTTATCTAAAGAAAAAAGTCAGAAATAAACGGTGTGAGACGGTTTCTATGGTGACCGAGGCAGAGAGGTGATTCTCAGAGAGATCTGGGAAGTTTATCCAAGTTTATCCAAGTTTTTCTTTCTTTTTTCCATAAAGAGGTGAGAGAGATACGCTGCACTGACCTGCTCTGCTCTGTCTGACCCTCCTTATTCTGGTTTCTGTGAGGCTCAAAGAGGATCACTACCTTATCCGTTTTCAGTCCTCCTGAACTCCTATCATGGGGAAAGTTTTCTATTTTAATGTTTCATTCATTGTTTTAGCTCCAGTCTGTCCTATTTACTATAAACACCATGTGCGACTCCAAACTGACTCTTTCTCTGTGAGAATAACAGATTTTATTTTGTATTTTCCCCCAAAGCGGATGTATTTTACTTTGTAATCGCGTCTCTCTTCCTGTCAGACCCATTAAATTGCTGCTGAATTGCTGCGTAGTCCAACTAAAATAGACCTGGGCTCTATCTCAGTCGGAGCTACGCTGCCCCCTGCAGGAAATCATCCTCATTGACTTTCAATGAGGGCTAAACGCCACGAAACTCGTCCGACACGATTTTCTGTTGGATCGGCAAAATTGGATTTGGTGTGTTCTGGCCTTTACTGTGTTTCTTTTATTATTTGTGTTATTTTTAACACTTAAACACAAATAACCTGGAGAAGAAGGACAAGAGACATTAGATGTTTTTTTACCTGCTGGGAGAGCAGCAGAGATGTCCTCAGTTACAATCTCCTCCCGCTCTGAAGCACCTCTGCTGTCTTTCTCACTCTTTATTGGAAAAAGGGAATCCCTCGTAACAATAGATAACGGCGTAACTCTAAAGGAATATGTGGGGAGTAAGTTGCAGCGTCATATAATGATGCACATACATTTCTTCATGCAAACAGCAACCTTGAATTATACACATGAGAAATATTCAGTTCCTGGCTCCTGCAAAGGAATACTTCCCCCAGAGTCTAATAAAGATAATAGAAAGAATAAACAAGGTTAATACAGGATAAGATGAAATAGAATAGCTCCAACAATTTGATTAATATTATTATTAACCACTTTACTTATTGTTTTATGGTTGATTGTTTGTATCCTATGATTGTTTAAAGCTCTTTGGTCCTGTTGTGTGTTTAAAGTGCTTCATAAATACATGTATTATGGTGTGGTAATGGGGTTCTGTTTGTGGTTGCAGGCTCTGAAGGAAAACTCACGGTTGTTGCCCAGAAAATGAGCGTATTGTCAGGTGAGAAGTTTGTCTGCCTTCATTTCCTAGAACATTCAACAATAAGACAGAAGCAGATCCATCAGGTTTTAACTAAGTTATTGAGATCGTGTTGTCTTAGGAATATTGGTATAATATGATTCATTTATAGGTCAATACATTAACATTAGCCAACTGAATAAATATATTACAATTGCACTGAAATGATTGATAAAAAGGCCATTTATTGATTAAAAGGTGAAAAATAGTCCCAAGCAGGGTTCCCTCAGTGGTGGGACTGAATTAATTTATTCCAAACAATCCGTTCTCTTCATTTCGTAGCGTTTCTCTTGTCTGCGCTGCTTTCATTACATTTATCTGGTTGCTATATTTTCTTTCCAATCAGATTTCAGCCTCAGTGTGTTGCTATGACGATCTAATCTGCCCAGGGCCTTCACAATCAGCAGAGCTGCTGATGTTACCTTAACAATATGAGTGAGGAACGTTTTCTTCAACCAATCAGATTTCAGATTTGTTCCACTGGGCCAGCTATAGGCCCCGCCCCTACGTCTGGGAGCGGCCATTTTTGCCCAAATATAGTAACCCCTCCCTCCTGCCATCTTCCGGCAGTGACGCCATGGTGCGGTAAGCCTAGCGCCATTCTCCTAACCTGACTCCGCCAGATGGATTTGCTCCGCATATCCATCTGGAAACCTTCCGTTGAAGTAATTTTGGGAAGGGGCGAAAATACTGGTTAGCTGATTGGTTTATTTGGCCCATCTATCACCAACATAGGCCAATCAGATCAAAGAAGCATATGAC